TCGTTTATTTACCGAGGCTTCATTTTCTCATCCCCGCAGCCCCCCTTTTTGGTAAAGCTCCGTTCAGAAAAGGGCCGAAGGCAGCCCTTTCTCTAAGCAGATGTTTTAGCTTGGCCAGGCGAGGATATCACGCAGACAACCACCACCTTAACGCACGCTCCCTTCTGGCTTCACGGAGAGCAACGGTCCCCCTGCCTCAGGGCCATCGCTGGACGTTCTAAAGCTGCATCCCAATGTGCGACCTCAGGCAGGCCCCCTGGCCCCTCGGTTCCCCAGCGTGTGAAATGAGAACCATGGCCGTTGTGTGTTAGCCTTATTAGCGCTGTGATGAAAACGAAATAAATGACGAACAACCGCCATCCCAGAGAGGCGGCAGCACGCAGTGGCCTAGCGGATGGGGCTGTTATCTTGGTGGCACATGCTCCGCTCTGGCTGATACAGGACGTAGCAGATGGGAGACAAAGACAAGTGCTTTTCAACCCCAGGCCCGGGCTCTTCACCGCAATCACCCCGGGGAGTGGGCGCGTAGTGAGGACCAAGCAATTACCGGGTTTCTTAGTTTTTCGTTTAAGCTCAGGTCTTCTCTATCTATATTTATTTAATTTTTATTTATTTTTTTAAAAATACCTTAATTTCAGAGAGGAAGGGAGAGGGAGAGAGAGAGTAACATCCATGATGAGATGCCCCCAACTGGGGATGGAGCCCCCAACAGTGCCTCGTCCAGGAGAAGGGAATGGTGCTAGTGATTTATACCCCTTCACGGAGGGCGTCTGGGCGTTCATATCTGCTTGTGTAAGCTTCCTAACACCACTTTTCACGGGAGAGAGTCTTCGGGGATGGGCTTTCGGTTGCAGACCAGGCACTAGCTGTGTGTCATTAGATGGGCCCACAGCCTCTCTGAGCTTCAGTTTCTTCATCCATAAAATAGGGATGACAGCAGGGATAGAAATCGTGCAGACAGGACTGCTGCCAGGGTTACACGAGGGAAGGTGTGGGGATGCTCCCCAGGGGCCTGCCTTTGCTCTCAGTCTGAGCTTCTCCACGACCTGCAGTCGCCATGCTCCTGAGATTCTATCTGTCCATCGTCCCTTTTATCCTGCATCTCATTGATTTTATTTTTTTCAAATATATTTTATTGGTTTTTTTGCAGAGAGGGATAGAGAGTTAGAAACATCGATGAGAGAGAAACACCAATCAGCTGCTTCCTGCACACCCCCTACCAAGCGTGGAGATCCCAACCCCTGCAAGCCCTCACTGGAAATCAAATTGGTGATCTTTCCATGCAGGAGACCACACTCAACCAAATGAACCACTGTAGCCGGGATTTTATTATACTTTTAACTTTAAAATATCACATAATTAAGAGATAAAGCAGACTATGAGGGAATATACACATTGTGAAGATAGGAGGTGGCAGAAGTAACATTAGAAGCCAAAACTCTTTCATTGGAGACACAGGAGTTTGATTAACAGCCCTGCCTTGTATTAACTCTAAAGCAGGCAGTTGGCTTTGAGTCTTTGAACCTTGATTAACTCTGTATAAACTAGATGGACAAACCATCTCAGGTTATGGAGAGAATTAAATGAAATAATAATGCAGGTAAAACATTGAATACAGGGCCTGGCACATGTAGTAAACGTTCAGTAACTGTTAGCTCCATAGCTTCAATGGCATGAGGCGTCACAACCACAGTCTTTTTATTTATTTTTTATTTTTTAAATATATTTTATTAATTTTTTACAGAGAGAAAGAGAGATGGATAGAGAGTTAGAAACATCGATGAGAGAGAAACATCGATCAGCTGCCTCCTGCACACCTCCTACTGAGGATGTGCCCACAACTAAGGTCCATGCCCTTGACCAGGATCAAACCTGGGACCTTTCAGTCCGCAGGCTGATGCGCTATCTACTGAGCCAAACTGGTTAGGGCTGCATTTCATTGATTTTAAACTGAAACCTTTAGTTTTTAATAAATGTAAATATGCACTTCTAAAAAGACATTCTATTCTATTTCATTCTATTCTATTCTATTCTAGTCTATTCTATTCTATTTCATTCTATTCTGTGCTATTCTATGATTTAAGATGAAAAGCAACAGCCCCTCTGCTGGCTGTGAGGTGCTGGGCAGCTGGCCTCTCTCGGGAGCACCTCCTTTTTGTTGGGGCTCATTCCTGGAGCGATCCCCCCACAGCGCGGTCCCCCAGGCTGTGCGCGGGGCTGACTGGGGGCCGAGCTCGGGAATTACTGCGCCGGCAGTGTCTCCTGGTTTCCGTTGGCTTCAGTTGGAAGAGGAAAGGCCTGGGGTCCAATAGAGGCAGAGAATCCAGGAGGGAGGCCAGGCCTTCCCCCTCCAGGAGGGACGCAGTGCTCCGGGAAGGCATCAGCCGCCCCGGCCTGAAACTGCCCCCCCCCCCGCCCCCTGCCGAACCAGCAGGACAGGATGGGGAATCCTTCCCCATGTCTTGAGTCTAAGTGATGTGCACGGGAGCGCCTGGCTCGCGCGAGCTCGCAGCCTGCGCTGCGGCGTCTGGGTCGCTGTCAACGAACCGGAAGCTTCTCTCTTGTGGTCGCATCGGAGCTGGCCTCCTGGGCTGCTGTTCAAGTCAGATGCCACTTTGAAAGTCAGCAGTCAAGTAGACAGGAAATAGACAAGGACTGTCTATTTCCCATAGGAGATTTGAATAATTTCACTCCTTTCATCCCCTGAAGAGGGTTTATACATCTCTTTTCTACTTTTCTATATATTTATTTATTTGTTGAAATATATTTTTTAGTGATTTCACAGAGAAAGGGAGAGGGAGAGAGAGAGAAACATCAGTGATGAGAGAGGGTCATGGGCTGGCTGCCACCTCCATGCCTTCTGCTGGGGATGGAGCCCCAACCCTGGCTTGTGCCCTGGATGGAATCGAACAGGGGCCTCTTGGCGCACGGGACGATGCTTCACTACTGAGCCACGCCCCCCGGGCTCTTCTCTCAGATTGGCAGTATGTTTGTAAAAATCCATCGCGTGTCCTCCTGAAAGAAACCCTTGACAAATTTAAAGAATTCCTAAGGCTACGCTTGTGGTTTTAACCCAATACAAATTAGAGAGAATAATACAAGGCTGACCCCTCCCCCCCAAGTCTTGACCATTCAGAAATTAAGTACATGCTCTGGATCATGATCAGATCAAAGAGGGAATCGGGACGGAGATCATCAAGTGTCTGAGAAGAAAGCAAAAGGAGACGACACCGCACTAAACCTCCGCGCCGTAGCAAAACGCGTTACCCAGGGAGATGGATAGCTGTAAACGTCTTCATTATTAAAGAAGGAAGATGGAAAACAAAGACGGCGATAAAGTCATTATTTTAAGAAGTTTGCAAAATGTACAGGCAATTCAACCAAAAGGAACTGGAGAGAGGGTAAGGGGAACCAACAGCTAGATTTCACGACATGGGATTTCCCCCCCTGGGAAACGTTAGGGAGGAAATAGGTTTCAGTGGCGGTTCTTGGCAAGGACCCACTGTTGGAGACTTAACCGTGTGCATGCTCCCCGAGAAATGTGGGAGCAGATACCTGCCCCTTCACGCAATGGCATCTGAGGCAGCCATTCCAGCTGTTTGAAAGCAGTTTGTAAGAGGATTGGGTGAGATGCTTGTGTCAAGTTAAAAAAGCATCAAGCCTTGTGGTGCAGAAGGATCATGGCCGCGGGAGCCACCCATTGCCCACCTCCCTCCCGCCCCCAAGTTCTGAAGGGAATTCAGTCTGGGGAGAACACACCACGATAGGAATGGCTTACTGACGCCTGCTACAAGGCAGGGGGCCTCGAACACATCGCGCTGACCGAGAGAAGGTCCCAGAAGACGGCGCACTGTGTGATCCCATTAATGTGAACTTTCCGGAGCAGGCAAATCTACAGAGACAGACGGTAAACTAGTAATCGCCTAGGGCTGGAGGGCTGGGGTCGGGAGTTTGGGAGTGACAGGTAAAGGGTACGAGGTTTCCTTTCGGAGCGATGAAATGTTCTAAAATTGATGATGCGGCCCTGGCTGGTTCAGCTCAGCGGATAGAGCATCGGGTCTGCGGACCAAAGGGTCCCAGTTCAATTCCGATGAAGGGCACAGACCTTGGCTGCAGGCTCCTCCACGGCCTGGGCCCTGGTCTGGGCTCATGCAGCAGGAGGCAACCAATCGATGTGTGTCTCTCACATCGAGGTTTCTCTCTGCCTTTCCTTCTCTCTTCCACTCTCCCTAAAAATCAATGGAAAAATACCCCGGGGTGAGGAACGAATGAATGAATAAATAAACAAACAGATAAATAAATAGAATTGATGATGCGATGGTTGCACTGAGAACACACTACCTATGACTTGTGCCCATGCAGAGGGTGAATGGCATGATATGTGAATTATATATGAACTAAGCTGCTACCCAAAATAAAAAAAAAAAACAACAACCCACAAATCACAGTGCTTATCTCGGGAAATGAAAATATCTGTGACTTTCCTTGCTTTCCACCCTCCTTTGTGATTTCCAGATTTCCAGATAGAATCCTGCGTCACTTGTGTAATAAACCATAAGCCAAACACCCAAAACCATTTTAAAGGAGGAACGTGAATAATCGGCACGCTGTCACATGGAGTGGCAAGGGGCTTTTCCTCTGCGAGGCCAGGAACATACAGCCTCAGTGGTCTGGGGTCTCTCAGGGGCAGCATCACAGCTCAGGGAAAAGCTGGGGTGTGGGAACCCCGGGGGGACGGGGAGCCCATTTCCAGGCAAATTCTCTAAGAGGTGTCAGAGGCTGCCTGCCCCCGAGCTAAATTAGCCAGAGCTGTGACTTATATAACTTCCTGTAATTGCCCCGGGGCTGGCTGTGGCTGAGGCCCCAGACCCACCTGCTCCTCCTCTTTGCCGAGCAGGGGGTGGGGTGGGGGGTGGGGGTTGCCTGTGCTTTGGGGCTTGGTGGGCCCGGTCAGTGTTTCTAACCGAATCTGCCATGCCGTTTTGAACAGAAGCCGCCAGCGTCTCCCGGGAAGATGGGGAACTCGTACGCGGGGCAGCTGAAGAGCACGCGGTTTGAGGAGGTGCTGCACAACTCCATCGAGGCCTCGCTGCGCTCCAGCAGCCTGGTGCCGCGGCCCGTCTTCTCGCAGCTCTACCTGGAGGCCGAGCAGCAGCTCTCGGCCCTGGAAGGTACGGCCGTGTCTGTCCCGGGGCTGTGGGCTGTGGGCTGTGCGGCCCACGCTGGCCGGCGAACCCCACGCCCTCTCCCCTCCGCTCTGTGGGGGGATGTGGACGCTGGCAGAAAGGAATTGTTGGGAGAGGAACGTGGAGCAGGCCTTCTCACTCGGCTCACGCTGAAGGAGGTTGCAGCCTAAGGTTGCAGTGAATGGAATTGGGGCTGAGAGGAGAGGGGAAGAGGGTGCGTTCGAGTTGGTGTGACTTATGAAAAGGTTTGGAGCAGGAAGTTTAATGGCTTTGGACCCTCAGCTACTTTCCCCGGCTTTGTCCTTGGGATTCGTGGCCACACCTCTGCAAAGCAGTGCAGGCCGTTTCTCTGGCGATAGCAGGTGGGAGTGGGTCCCCTGGAAATGTGAAAACCCAGAACAAACCGTCATGGACCTCACGTGTGCCCGGAATAACTGCATTACCTCCAGGCCCGTGGGCAGCGCGAGGGCCACTGAGTTCCCCAGAGAGGAAAGGGGTGGCACTTTCCGGTCTTGAGTTTGCATTTTTACAGCCGGGTGTGGTCCTGGCAAAAGGGAGCCCACGGCAGTCCATGGCACTAGACGGTTCCTGTGACGAATGAACGCTCTTTGTCGTTCATGGCCTTCACCCGAGCTACCTGCAGACGGCACTGAGCGACTGAGGTGACACGGGCTGTGGTTTCAAACCACCGCCAGTAACTAATTAGATCAGAAAGCCTGCCGTGTGCCAGGTCCCGTGTGGGGCTGGTCATGTGTGCATGTGTGTCAGTGCATGTGGACCTGTGTGCGAATGTGTGTGTGGGGGGCGGGGGCAGGCAGGGGGAGGGCTGCATACAGGGAACAGTGGGGCACGGATCTGCTGTGTGATCCCTGGGGCCCCCTTAGCCCGGCGGGAGGGGTTCCCGTGTCCCTCTTCATCGCGTCCTCGCCAGATTCACCTTGTGGGGAGCAGTAAGCGCCTGAGCGGACTGGACCTGGGCCTGAGAGACACTAGGCTGTGGTCAGAAGCAGGGCGTGGGAGAAGCATGCGTTCCCTCGTATTCGCATGGGAAGTACGGCCAGGGTCTGGCCGGGGACGCCTTCCTGAGACACGTGGGAGACGAGACATCACGGGAGAATGTCTTACCGACCGTTTGGCTGGCGGAGAGTCTTGGGACACACACAGGAAAGGGTGGCCCTTAGCCCCCGCATCCGCGGAAGGCTTTGCTAATGATGAATTAACGAGAGCAATAATGACCAATAATGTAGTTCCTTGGAAGGGCACCTTCACCACCACCCCTGAGGGAGCGGAAAGCGGAACCCCAGGGTTTGGGAAGATGGCAGGATGGTTTGCTGGATGTTTTGGAGGATGCTCACGTGGGGAGAGAGAGGAGGGTCCCCTCAGCTTCCTTTATGTCTAAGGTCTCTGCCCACCCTCGCAGCTTCTAACGGGAGGCTGCCTCCCGGATGTCCTAACTGCTCGGGTGCCCCCTCTGCCCACCGGGCGCTGGGCAGGTGACACTGTCCAGGGACGGTTTCGAACCCCCGCCTCCCCCCGCCCCCAGTGCCCCGTGTTGAGTGCTGGAGGCTCCCACCAGCTGTTGGCCCCTGGTTCTGCCCTCCTGTTGGCATGAAGACCAGAGGGGCCTCCTGCTTTTCCCATCTGCCCGGCAGACGGGGAGAGATGGCTTCGGGGATTCTGTTTTCCTAGTCGGGGAGGGAGAGGTGGGCAGGGGTCCTCTTTCCGGTTTGCTGACTGTTGCAGCCTCTCCAGCCCCGGCTGCTGCCTCGTAAACCGGCTGCAGGCCGCGTCTTGTTTTGTCTGCCTGTCTCCGGGTCAGGGCCCTTATCTTGTCGCGGCTTTTCCCAGGCGACAGCATTATGACCCCTCGCACAGGCAGCGTCTCCTGTGTTTGTGCTGGTGATTCTGGGGTGGGGGGGATGGGGGATGCATACTTTGTTCTCTGATGAGGGGGTCTCACCGTCTTCTTCTAGGGGAAACCCCTTGATGTGTTATTTATTTTTATTTTATTTTTTTATACTGGGCATTGAGCCCACAGCCTGGGCAAGTGCCTCTGACCGGAATCGAACCCGGGACCCTTCAGTCCATCCTCTGAGCCAAACCAGCTAGGGCATTATTTATTTTTTAAAAAGAAAGACCAACTGAACTAAAGACACACCACCCAGCATGTTGAGGAAAGTGTTTGTTAAAGAAAATGCAGGTGCATTTCAATAGCCCCCTGCCCCGAATGCCATGCAGGTTTTCTTGTGGGAAGAGAACAGTATTGGGGCGCTCACTGGAACAGCAGCGGCCCCAGGAGCCCAGGGTGGCCTGGGGACCCCGGCTCCTGTCGCAGTTCCCAGTTCCCGTGCGAAGGTCCCCTCCCGTTGGCTGTGTCTGGCGCCTTTCGAGCGCCCCCCCACCCCCCAGACCTGGGTAAACAGTCTGGGTTCTCCCTCCTGCTTAGGAGGTCTCCCAGGCTGGTCCCTGGCTAACTCATCCCATCAAAGGCCCCGGTTGCCTTGCGTGGACCTTTGACCCTTAATCCCGCTTCCTTGGAGACTGGGTTTGGAGCGCTTTCTTCCACCTTCTGCGGCTTAGGACCCGCCCCCTCCATGCTGTCCGGGGGCCTGAACTCCTGTGCTTTCTGGCTGAGCAGAATACTGTGCAGACTCCTGGGCGTGCCCTCGCGCTCCCAAGACTCTCTCCCCCTTTTCACTCCGATCCTTGGCTCCCTGCCAGCACCCCTCCCCACCCTCCACCCCCCTCAGCCTCTGGGTCACCGGCTCAGCTTGGCCTGGATTTTGCACAAGAGCTTGCGTTCTATGCCACCCGCGCCGTAGGTGGCGAAGGACAGTGTGCGTGCCCACGGTGGGCTGTGCCGCGTGGCTGGCGCCTGGGGTCTGGGTGTGGCTCTATACCTTCTGCTCAGATATCCCCCCACTTGCTTCCTCCTCCCACCTCCCCCGCCTGCATTTAATGGCAGGAAGGAAACATCCTGCCCCCTGCGTTCCCCCTGGGCTTTCCACACTCTTCCCACCACCTGTGTCCTCTCAGGGGCACTAGGGGTCTTTTTAAAAAATATATATATATTTTATTGACTTTTTACAGAGAGGAAGGGAGAGAGATAGAAACATCTATGAGAGAGAAACATCAATCAGCTGCCTCCTGCACACCCCCTACTGGGGATGTGCCCGCAACCAAGGTACATGCCCTTGACCGGAATCGAACCTGGGACCCTTCAGTCCTCAGGCTGACGCTCTATCCTCCGAGCCAAACCGGCCAGGGCGGCACCAGAGGTCTTGCTTCACTCCTGCGGTGACCGTCCCAAGGCCATGATCGGAGCTGGCTTGCCTCTTGTCCCTCAGGCACCTTTAAAAGAGTGGCCACGGGGAGGCTTGTTGCCGGTACCTGTGCGATTAAATCACACCTCGAGTATTCCGAGGGCCTTGTTTCCCCACGTGGCCGCTCCTTTACGGCTGCAGGCACAGAGAGGTTAAGTAACTTTCCTGCGGCCACACAGACGGTGGCAAACCCAAGACCTATAGCTTGAGTTTCCCGATTCCCAGTCCCATCTCTTCGCACTGCACACGATTTCATCACCGACCTAAAGCCACTTGACCCCCTGGCTGGCTGGAGGGTGTGAGGGCCAAGTCCGAGAAAAGCAGGAGAAATGGCCACCGAGGAGCCGGCAGGAAGAGAGGACATGAAGACGTGAAGGAGAAACCCTCGCCTCCTGGCGTAGGGCACTTCTGGGCCCTCGGAGGGACCCCGCTTCAGGGAAAATCTGTGTGCTTTTTATTAGATGATGTTTAAAGACAAGTCGGGAGAGATTTATTTTACCCAAAAGGTCTGTTAAAAGAAGTGAGAAGGACTGTATTTCAACGGTCCTTCACTGATTTGAACGCGCCCCTTTCTTTAGTGACGCTTTGGTAAATGAGGCGTGGTTGCTGTGCACGCTCAGAGCAGATGGGAGGTGTCGCCTGAGGAAGGGGCCCCCCATCCCCGCCCTCCAGGAGCTGAGCGTCTGTGGGGAGCGACAAGAGGCTGCGTGACAGCTCGTGCGCAGGGAGCCGTGAGCCGTGGCATCCGTGGCGAATTCCTGGCTCTCCGGGCGGTTCCTGACCTGGCATTCCTCCCAACGTACCAGCTCCCGAACACAGAGCTCCTGAGCTCCGGCCGGGGTCCTGAGCTGAATGGCTGCGCGTGGTGTGGCCAGTGGGCGTGTTTGTATTTCTGGTGCTGGTGCCTGCGCCCTCCCCGGGTACATACGAACACCTGTCACCACGCCCTGCTGCTGTGCGGCCACCCTGGCCTGCGTCCGCCTGAGCTGCAGCTGCCAACAGCCTCCGCGTGGGCGTCCGGCACCTGCTCCCCAGCGCTTCACTGAGCAGCTGGGGGCCAGGGCGGGCCTCTGAGCCTCAGTGGCCTGGTCTGTAAAATGGTCTGTTTGTGTGCTTTTTAAAAAAGTATATTTTTATTGATTTCAGAGAAGAAGGGAGGTTGGGGGGAGAGAGAGAGAGAATATCATTGATCGGCTGCCTTGCACACCCTCTACTGGGGATCAAGCCCGCAACCTGGGCATGTGCCCTGACCGGGATTCAAACCATAACCTCCAGGTTCATAGGTTGATGCTCAACCAGAGCCACGCCGGCTGGGCTAAAAGGGTCTGTTTTAACACCACCGTGCCTCCCACGCGGATATTCTTGGGGTGCCTGCTATGCACAGGTTTCACGCTCTGTCCTTTTCATACGGATTGAACCCCGGTGTGTGTGCAGACGTGTGCAATCCTCATGGGTGGGAAGAGACTGACCCCGAATTGGAGGTCACGAGACCAGGCCCCAGCCTGAGTCTGTGCCCTTGGGACAGTCCTGGGCCTGAGCGAGCCTCCACTTTCCCTCTGAAGACGGCGGCCGTGCCCCAACCACGGTGCGGGTGCGAGGACTGGTCAGTTACTCAGGAGCGGACACCTGCTGGTACTCACCTCTGCCTGTCCCCTCCTCTCTCCCCTTCCAGGTGGTAGCCGAGTTGACAATGAGGAAGAAGAAGAAGAGGGGGACGGGGGCCTGGAGCCGAGCTGTCCCCCAACCGCCTACCAGATGCACCCCCCTCCCGAAGGATGCTGCACCACGGACGGTGAGCTGCCAGCCCTGCCCGGCGGTGCCCGCTGCCCCGCGTCCGCGGCTGTCCCTGTGCCCACGGCCCCCAGCGGACATTATTAGATGCCCGCCCTCCTGTGCCTGCAGCATTGGCTACCCCAGGCCCTGTGAGCTCGGCCAACCTCACAGCCTCTCAGGCGCTGTCTGAACGTTACGAGTGGACTCAGATCCCAAAGTTCGTTTTTCTACGTTAGTTATTTAAAAATGAACATGTATTTCCCCCACTCTGGTGCGGTTGTACCACCGAGTGCTCAGCTCAAAACTGATTGGTAGGAATAAACTTTCACATCTACCGGTATTTTACTGTTGAAAAAGCAGACATGCGGTATTGGAGGGGCCCTGTAAACTCAGCGATGTGAATCCCTGCTGCTGTGAGGCACAGAGGCTCGGGGATGCCGGGTGGGGGACCGCTAGGCGCTTAGGCTGGGGTGGTTCCCCTTCATCCTCCGGCTCCGCCGCTGGCCAGACCACCTGTGAGCTCATCCGTCCTGTCCCCAGATAGTCAAGAGGTGGCACTAGTTAGTGATTAGTCAGTTAATTAGTTAGAATCACTGCACCCTGCTCTGGAAATATGGAAATGAAGGTACGAGAGCTCCCTCGTTGATGGAGAGTCCTAGGAAGCAGCCATTTCACACATGACGTGGAAGGTGCTGGTAGGGTGGGCTGGGCGAGCAGGGGTGGGGTGCGTGGGAGCAGAGGAGAGGTTCCTGACGCAAGCAGGGAGGGCTTTCTGGAGGAGGTAGCCCTCCATCTGGGTTTTGGAGAATTCGCAGGAGTTAGCCGGGGGCAGCCTGGACCTTCCAGACAGAGGAACAGCATGTGCAAAGGCCTAGCAGGGTGAGCGGATAGCCCACTTGGGGATCTGCTAGCAGTGCATTTGCATAGGAGCCTGAGGGACAGGCAGGGCTAGAGGAGTGATTCCCGCGCAGTCTGCCTGTGGGCCTGTGGGTGCAGGATGGCCCACAGGGGAGGGAATCGGCCCTCGCAGGGGCAGCTCCTCTGGGCGAAGGGAGGCCAATCCCTTGGCTCTTCAAGAAGTACCACGTCTGGCGCCCAGGCGCTCACCGGCCACCGATTAAGGAAGAAAACGGTGGACTCTCCATTGGTGGCCATGAGAGTGATTTTCAGAGAATTTCCAAGAAAGTGCAGTGAACACACCGACTGCCCAAGCTGGCCCCAGGCTCTCCAGGAGGCAGGGCCCTCCACACAGCAGGAGGTGCCAGGGCCTGGGGGTGAAGACCCGCTGGGCGCTCGACCTCAGCCTAAGGGCTTCCCCGTGAGGATGAAGGGAACCACCCAGCCTGAGGGCTGACCCGGCCCCATTGCCCACCTCTCAGCAGCCTTGAGCCAACCGTGTAAGCTCCCTGAGCCTCGGTGTCCATCTCGTCACCCTGGGGCAGCAGCACTGCCCCCCGGGGGCCCACGGCAGCTTTGGCACTTCCCAGCCGGGTGCCGCACACAGTAGGCCCGCAGATGTCCAGGGGCAGAGGGAGCCCTCGGCGACCGTGCGTTGTGAACGGTGAGGCAGGTGTGCCCGGGGAGTCTCCCCAGAACGCTGCGGTTTCACGGCGACGGCCTTGGCGTCGTCGGGGTGCACATCGTCTCCCTCGGAAACCAGCGATAGAAGAAGCATCTGGGATCGGTGAACAGGTTAAGCGAGGACAACCCTGGAAGGGCCCGTCCAGAAACCTCAGCTGGTCCCTTCTCCTTCCTTTTTCCCCGACACTTTTGGACACTTACTAGCACTTATTAAATAGGAGCAATGCAGGGGTGGGCGTAGTAGGTTTCCAGTTGTGAGTATGCAGAACAGTTGATTTTTGTGTTATTTATTAATTCTTGCCTTACCACTGTAAACCTACTTCTGCCTGCCCCTGTATTTAGAAGCTCTTAAGTACAAGACGTTCCAAGGGTATAGACTAAGTAAGAGTCTCTATGCTGAGTGTCCCCTGGGTCCTGGGCCCCCAGATCTGTTCCCCGAGGCTGCCAGTGTCCCCAGGACCTCACCCCTTATTCCTGCCTCTCGCCAGTCCTCATACACGTAAAATGGAGGGCGTGAAAATACCAGGTCACTCGCCATTTCTTGTGGATTTATCTTAGATACATTTAAAAAATAATATCCCATCAGGGTGCATCTGACATCGGTTTATTTTTTGTTGTTAATCTTCACCTGAGGACATTTTTTTCCCCCATTAATTTTCAGAGAGAGTGGAAGGGATGGGGAGAGAGAGAGAGAGCGAGAGAGAAACATTGATGTGAGAGAGACAGATTTTTTTGGTTGCCTCGTGCACGCCTCCCTGACCGGGGCCGGGGATGGAGCCTGCAGCCCAGGTACATGCCCTTGACTGGACTCGAACCTGAGGCCTTTCAGCCTGCAGGCCGACACTCTATCCATGGAGCCACACCTGCTCTTGTATACATTTCAATTGACCATCATTTGTCTATAGTTTTTCCTGTTGAGCTCCACGTGTGCAGTAATTATATGGTGACACCGACAGTCATCACAGCATGGGGCTGAGTGTCACCTTAACCACGGGGGCAATTGCATCTCTCAGGGTTGATCTCAAAGCCAACCACCCCCAGAGGTAGAGGTTGGTCCCGACAAGACCCAGGATGCCCTCCTCCCTCTGTCCGGCGGTCCTGGCCCCGGAGCCCTCGGCACACCTGTCCCTTCCCCCTAGGGTTCTGCCAGGCGGGGAAGGACCTGCGTCTCGTCTCCATCTGCAGCGAGCCCATCGACGTCCCCGCCGGCTTCCTCCTCGTGGGGGCCAAGGCCCCCAGCCTGCCCGGCCACCTCCTGGTGT